CCTATCAAGAAATCTAAAGTCAGACGTTGCCCATTGGCAAGATAACGTGTTCTTTCTTTTTTTGTGTGGCATCAACACTAACTGGAGGACATTGATTACAGGGACGTGCACAGATTTCTATTGATATTGGCCTTATACAGCAATACAGCAGTAAATGGAGAGACGTGCATGTTACAGTAGGTTTAAGGTTTGAGTTTCAAATAGCATTTGCCATGTCATAAAATACACTGTGTACAAGTACACGCAGAGCTGAACAACATGTCTATCTTGTATCAGTACTGGGAACCACCACTCAGCCCACACGTCCTGACAGTCTTACTGTTTCCACTGTAAGTGCCATTATGTAATATCGTCTGTTTTTTCTCCTGCAGGTGGCTGGTTTTGGCCATGGCAATGATACGCTTCTACATCCAGAAAGGCACACACAAGGGTCTGTACAGAAGTATAGCAAGGACACTCAAGTTTTTCCAGACCTTTGCATTAGTTGAGGTAAGAATTTGAGTGAAACAGCGTCTGTAGTCACAGCACGAACTGATACGTACTTATTTTTATGTATCTTGTGTTACAGGTGGGACATTGCGCCATCGGTATGTGAGGATTTTGGTTTATGGCTTATGATTTATGTTCAGATGTAAACCCAACACCTCTGCAGTGGTAAACTGTTGTTTTCTCCTGCTCTGCTCACAGGAATTGTTAGGACTTCTGTGATTGTAACCGGGGTTCAAGTTTGTTCACGGATTTTCATGGTTTGGTTCATCACTAACAGCATCAGACAGGTGACTATCACAGCACAGACTCTACTGTAGCTTTATATTTAGTTTAGTAAATTAAATATAGCATCCTTTACTGTTATTTCTTTACTGTCTCTGTGAGAAAATGCACAATAATTCAGTTTATTACCTCCACACATACAGTGAACACATTAGTAATATTCTGTAAGCAAAGATAGATTCTCATAGCATTTCCTGGGACAAATTTAATAACATTAGGCGGCTTTTCTGTACCTATTTTAGCTTCATTATAGTTTTGTTTGATTTGTATTCACCGTCATTGCTCCCACACTATTGCACATGTCGTTTAAAGCAATCGTGTCTTTACGTGCCATGTAAACACTTCTCCCTCCCTCTGTGTATTTGCCATTTTTTTTGCTCTTAAATGAAGATCCAGAGTGAAGAAAGCGTAATCCTATTCCTGGTTGTGTGGACGGTGACAGAGATTATCAGATATTCCTACTACACATTCAACCTGCTCCACCACCTGCCATACTTCATCAAATGGGCCAGGTGGAGATGCCATTACCCGGCGGCCGGGATGAGCCTGAATTGTCATTACCGTGTTGGACATTGTGTCTGAGCATGTCGGCACTGATCTGGCCATTTCACCTCTGGCATGCTTCCCCCCCTCGGGCCTAAACTGGCTTTACATCAGGAAGTAGTGCAGCCGTTTGTGTATTAAGTATCGCCTGGCTCACACAGAGAAGAGAAGCATGTGTGTGTTTATTGATTAGCACCTCATTAGCCATTCTCCGTCGATGGTGGGCGAACTAACAGCTAACATTGTGCTCTGGCAATACTGATAATGCAGAAATTACAGAAGATAGGCTGACGTCCAGATGTTTTATCAGATATTAAAACAAATAATTTGAAAGCAAAGTATTGTCCATAGCCTTAATTATCAGCACAAAAAACTTGAAACAGTTGTTGTAATTATCAGTAAAACACGATGACGACGAACAGTCCTCAGCTCTGGAGTGACATAATGCCTGCCTACTGTATGAAGAGCACTTGTGACGTGGCAGTCTGGCCTTGCGTGTCTCTCTGCTACAGTAGCTCAGCTGAAATTGGAGTCGTCAGGAGGAATGTCAGCTGTACACATTGATAGCTGTCCAACACACAGGCTTGGCATCTTACAGCGCAGAGATCTCACTTCAGAATAGTGAAGTTTACATATTGCATCAGCTCATTCACAAGGTGAGACATTGTTCTGCCTTTTGGATTGCCCGCAGACAGACGTTCACCAGAAAAACCCACACTTTTCGGCCGCTTGTGGGTGTCACATGATCGTCAGCACGCAACTCACTTTCATGCCAGTTACTCTTTTGTCTTGGGGTGTTGATTCTCGTGCACTGAATGCCACTCTCCTCCCTTCCTCCCCCACCCCCTACCCACGCTTCACGTCTTTCTTTAAGCATGGAGGAGACGCCAGGCCCCCCGGGAGAGGGGCTCATGTTCAGCTGCTCCTGTTTTTAATACCATCTGTTTTGGTCATGGAATGTTCGCCCAACATTTCTCTCACATCCGCGGAGACGCTCCCCCGAGCCTTTGCTGTGGTCTTGACTAAATGCGGGATCTCTGTAGCCCTGAGTCATGGCATATATCGTACTAGAGAGGCCATGTGTTGTCACAAAGGCAGGCAGGCAGGCCAACTCACACTCGCAATACAGGCAGCTATAGCAGGAAGCCAAGAAGATGAGAGTTTGTGAAGCTCTTCTCTAAATTTTAGATGATTTTATGAGAAATTTGGGACCATATTTTGAGGTGGCGCTCACCGATAGTAAACTTTCTGCTGAGTAATTCCTACCTATTAATGTTTGTAAGTCTTGTATTGAAACCCTGGTTGTCGTCCAAGTTCAGAGATGCATTTAAGCGTCTGTATGCCAAGTAATCTCCATAAATATATCCATTGTCACTGTAGACATCAACCATTTAGTGCAGTGATTTAGTTGTCAGTGGCCCACATTACAGCCACAGCTCTGCCCACTACAACATCTGCTAAATCAAATGCTTTTTGGCACACACTGCAGGCAAAAGTGGCACAAATCTGATCTTTTTTTGGGGTCCAAATTATATACAGGTCTGTTTTTTTTTTTTTGCAATGTGACCTCAGTGTGAACAGTCACATGAGAAATCATGCGACTTTATGCCGCTCTTGATCGACATTCGTCACACAGGTCAGTTCAGGACCATGATCTGCTCACACTGGAATCTGGGCAACATTTAAGGCACATTTTAAAATAATGTGAATAGCCAAACAAAATAAATTTAGATGTGAGCAATAAATCAGAATTGAGCAATAAGGGCTTCCTCTGTGAATGTAGCTTTTCTAAGGTTTAGTCACAGTCTATCATTAATGCTGCAAATCCCTCTAAACTGGCCTTGCTCCAATAGGTTGTATAAGCAGAGTAAATACTTTGCCTCCTTCCAAGGTGCATGGAGAAGGGAAAAAGTCTGAACTCCAGCAACACTTTTATAAAGAACAACTTAATTAATACGTTAAATGTACTTTCTAGAAGTAGTATAGAGGCATTTTAAAGTCAGGGTGCACTTCTTTGATGACCTGAATGTCATTTTACTTTATCTCAACCTCGTCTTTCTCTTGGCTCTCTATTGATGGAAAAACTTTCCTTTTCTCCAGTTTTCTAGTGATGTTTGTCTCTAATATCCATGATTGAAGACTACTGAGAAACATTGAATTACTGATTAACATTGTTAGAAGTTCAAACTCAATTCAGTATTAGGTCATATATGGATTACTTCACAAAATTCATTGTAAAGGGTCTAAAATGCAAAGACTGTGGTACTATCAAAAGTCCAAACTAGTTTTTATTGCTTTTTACAAACATTTAAATATGCTTACTGTATGTTAGTGACCTAGGAATTTAAGCTAATAGTAAAAACAAAGATTTTAGGGAGCATGCGTTGATTGTTGAACTCACCCTTGTGAAATGTTTGAGTGTACATTGTGTTTGAAAAACTGTGCATGTGAGTGTTTGTAACATCTGTAGGAGTGTTTGTTGCAGGTGTGTGAATGTGTGAACACTACTGACTGTTAAAAATTCCCATTTTCCTTCCCAGATACAACCTCTTCATCGTCTTGTACCCCCTGGGAGTCGTCGGAGAACTGATGACCATTTATGCTGCTCTGCCGTTCGTGCGCAGATCTGGAATGTACTCCATGAGGCTCCCCAACGTGTATAACGTGTCGTTCGACTACTACTACTGCCTCATCATCGTCATGTTGTCCTACATCCCACGTAAGGAGCATTTTTACTCCTACACTGCACTTTACGATGAAACATGTAGAGGAGGATTACCCCACCAAAAACCACCAGTTCACCCGAAGTGATGGGGGGATGGGGGCAGTGGGAGCAATAGGGACAGTAAATCTGGCACATGCTAATTGTTCTTAACTCCACAACATGGATTTTGAGTTCAGATATCAACAATCTGTATCCAGAATCATTATGCTGAAGCCAGGAGGTTAGCTTAGCTTAGCACAAAGACTGGAAGCAGGTGGAAACAGCTAGCCTGGGTGGCAAAATCTGTCTACTAGCACCTCTATAAAGCTCACTAATTAACCCTTAAGATAATGTTTTCATTAATCTGTTCAAAATGAAGAAGTGCAGAAACAAATTCAGTTGGTTGCTTGGCAACCTCAGGGTGATATGGTCACTACTAGGCTAATCACCTGCCGGCTCTAGCTTTATATTCAGCCTGCAGACATGAGAGTGGTATCGACCTTCTCAATCAATTCTTGGCCAGAAAACAAATTATCCTAAAAAGTCAAACTGTTTGCTTTTCAGTGTTGGAGACAGTGCTGCCTTCTTTGTTTTTTTATGCTATGAGATGAGATCCAGCAGATTTCCTACACACTCTCTACATATATAGCATCTTTGTGCGGGGGGTGGAAATCAGAGCAGGAACAGTAAAATCTAACATCCATGCATAAAATACAACTTTTTAAAAAGCTGATAATGAACAAATGTTTAGTTGCTAAAGTTTAAGATGCTGTATTAAGCATATTGTATGTAACATACATAATATTAAGTTATAGATGTCTTTGTCAGATCAATTATTTTTAAAATTTCATGTTCAGATTATTTTTGAGGGCATTTTGCCTTTAGAGGAGGGGTCTCAAATTGGCTTCAGGTCACTGCTTGTATTTTATTGTGAGAATATTTCCCTTGCTGGCATAACACAAACAGCAGTTGCTATACATTTTTCTGTCATCATTTTCATCAGACAACAAACCAAACAACAAATAAAGCCCCGAAACCTGCAACTGTTTGACTTTTGACCAAACAAAATGTTTTTATTTTAATTGTATATGAAGGACAGTTTAAATTGAAAATGAAATAGCCCAGAAATACCTTCCAGCTGGCAGCTTGAGACTGCTTTAGATATAGAAAACTTGCTCTGAGGCCTTAAAATATCTTACCAGGATTAATCATTGACACAGCATGTTTAAAACTATCATAGTTATCAATGTTTTGGAGCTAGTTGGACACTTTTCCTGTCAAATCACTGATTGTAACACATAGTAATTAGAAAACTGATTGGTCCTGTTTCTTTATTTTTTCCCAGTGTTTCCTCAGCTCTACTTCCACATGCTGCGGCAGAGGAGAAAGGTGCTTCACGGGGAGGTCATAGTGGAGAAAGACGACTAGACAAGCCACCACCTCATGCCTTTGTTTGAGCCAGCCCGCCTCCACATCACCCTCACCTCCCCCACTTCATCTCCACCTCACCTCTTCATCGCACGGGACCGTAAGAGCCGCACGAATGATGACCTGTCTGATGAGAGCTATAGCCAGCAATAATCAGGAAGAAAGGATAATAACTGATCCTAAGTATTTATTCACAGGATTAATTCCTATCTGAGTGGTAATATTGGAAACATGTTTACAGTCCCAGTGTTGCTGGAGCTTGAGATAGACGCCTGACGTTGTGTCTCAGCACAGAGAGATCCTGAGTCCTTTATTCACCCGCCAGCCTTACTGCCCCTTGTTGCACTGAAAAACATGAGCCACAGCACTGCACCCACCTTTCTAAAGGAGAAAAAGGCAAATGAGAGGCTTCCGGGGAAATGTGAAATGAAACATGGGAGGAAGATTGTAAGTTGCGTCTCCTGAGTCGTCCCCACTTCATCCCCTCAACCTCCCCAATTGGCTGTTTTATTTTATTTTCCAAGTATATTCCACCACAGTGATTTTACACAGACAGTGTGGCTGTAACAAAACAAGGTTTCAAAAGAGAGAATATTCATAGTTCTATCATACCTCAACAATAAATCTACATTTAGACAATATGCTGCTTCTTTTGTGTATGTTTGTTTTACCTTACATGTAAATCGATGCAATGTGAAATGAGCGGTTAATTATCAGCATATTTCTTAAAGATAATGTATTCACATACTGTATCACTTAGAGCTCGCACAGCTCAAACTTAACACTTTGTCTGCTTGGCTCAGCTCCTGCATTCTTTAATGTTGCTTTGATGTTTACTATGTCAAATTAATTTACAAGAGTGCATCTTAAACAAATTTGAGTCTTGAAAAAGTAGTTGCTTTTTCTTTAAGCCGCTGTAGCTAAGACGACAATTCAGATTTTTGTGAGCACTCACAGTCTTGCAGTCGCTGTTGTGTTTGTTTTTTAACATAAATTATCTCATGTCCGTGTTGATAGAAAGGTAGTTAGATTCCTTCCTGCTAAAGGTGCTATTGTAAGATCATTTCAATCTTCTGTGCAGCTGAAGGAGTGACTGTGATTGGATTTGACCTAAAGTAAGGAAACCAGGATGTGAAATTATTGAGAGGAAATGTTGGTCAATGAAATGGTTATCTAAGAAATTTTTTTGCTTATAATCTGGGTTAGAGAGGAGAAAAACAAAAGTCAATGTCAAATCACTGGAAAAGTTATTTTTCAAGAAAAAAAAAAAACAATAGAAATGTGAAAATACCTTTTTGTGCAAAATCAATAAACTAAATTCTACAATACTGTGGAGAGTTTTGTGATGACCCTCACGCTGATCTGATACTAGATCTGTTTATCTGAATCTGCAAAATCTTTTTTTAGAAATAAGCCAACAAATACAAACATCTTGTGGGTTTTACTTATTTATTTGCGAGTGTTTCCTTCATCTTTTGTAGTGTTGTTTAAACTCAAGTGTTTTTATAACAGGAAACAGTACCTGAGTGCAGAAAATGGCACATTTTATATTTGTAGGTAGGATCCACAGATTCATATTCATAAACATGTCTGTAATAGTGAAAAATAAATCTCATAATCACAAAATACTGGTATCATACATAGAGTATTAAACTGTAAACTTGCAGTCTTGAACTAAAACTCAAGCTGATTGTGACATTTTTTTGTATTTATCTGTAAATACTTTCTTTCTACTCATATAAATGAAAATGCTATATAGACATTCATGAGGTTAGATAACAGGTCCCCAAAAGATAGCATATCAGCGACATTGTGTTTTTTGCGCATCATTTTCGCACCTTTTTACAATTACATATTATGAAAAGCACTACGGTAAGTCCTCTTGGCTTCATAGAATTTATAATTTCCTACAAAACTTGCATAATGAAATATACATTCAGATATTCAGTTGCACATGGAATACAGTTTTATAAAATGTATTTCAAAAAACAAAAAAAAAAAAAAACAAAAAAAAAATATATATATATATATATATATATATATATATATAAATCAATTGGT